CCTGTGTAGTGATAACACCCTGGTTCTGCTTTCAAGGCTGTGCACTTAAAGGCAATAAGTATTCCAGAGACAGGTTTAAACGTGGTTTAAGTACCCCCGGCCCCAGGGCAACCCCCACCCCGCTCCAGCGCAGAGCTGTCAGGAGCAGTGGCACTGTTCATGGATGTGTCTGAACAGTCACAAACTGAATAGCAACATTAGACTTACAAAAATAATATAGGATAAAAATATGTTAAATATTTATAGTTTTATGTCTATGTTCATTATTACAGCTATTTGCATGGACTAAAAAAAATGCAACTATGGTGTTTTCACCAGCACAGCAACAGATCCTAGTGGCAGATTAGGTGATTCGTATCCCTTTTAATCAACAGTTCAATGCCTAATTGCATTTTAAATTAACATTATAGTGTTTTAAGTATTTTAATTATACTCTGGCAACTCTTGCCTATTGTTTAAAAGAACCCCAAGCCTGAAAGTACTGCAGCTGGGCTGAGTGTGGGCTCTCAGCCTCCTCCTCTCTCCCTTCACTGTGCCCTTGAGTCTGTCAGCACAGCGATCTTCAAGAGCTTAATCCACATTTAGTGTTTGTATTAAACACGGCCCAGCGTTTGTGAACTAAAACTTACAAAGCAGGTGTTAATTGAGTGCTAATTTATTTAAATTCCTCCTCGTGGAAGTGATTAAGGGAGGGAGTGTGTCCCTAGTTGTTGGAGAAGTTATTTGCTTTTGAGGTAAAAAAAATAAAAATTAAAAATCGGTAGTTTGCGCAGAGTGAGTACTAAAGAAAAAAAGGTACCCGCGGGATGATCATTTGCCCTGCAGGAAGCTGTGAACATGGTAAAGGTCAGGCTGTGTGCTCAGACAGGCTCCCTGACTCCCCACCGACTTCAATGAGGGTGCAGTGTGCTTAGTTCAGAACTAAAGGTGGCTGCAAGGCACCAATTTAAGGACAGCTTTATACACTTAAAAGATTGGACACAAGGGGGACGACTTGTGTGAAAGAGAAGGAACAGAAAAACGTGACATCCAGAAGATAGGGGGAAAAAAAAAGAAAGAAAGAACTGGAAGCTGAACTGATAAAAGCAGAGGAATAAATCTCATTGCCAGTGCCAAGTAACTTAATAGTGCTGTGCCCAGCACTTCGAGGTGTTAGAAACCAGCTTTTCTGTCCTGCTTCAGTTTACTTTCTAAGAATGGTGACTTGCTGTGACTGATCAGGTTCTCCTTAGTTGCTTGAGTCGTGCAGGAAAAAATGTCTAGAAGGAGAGTTAAGAATATTTTGCTTATTTATTAAGGACACTTAAAAGCTACTTAAAAGGCCTGCCAGTATAGTTAGTGCCTGAAGCCTTTTCTTTTGCTTGGATTAAGTTCCTTTAATTAAGTTAATAATCAGCATAGATTTTGTTCTGCTCCTTTAAGGCTGTTGAGGAGGACACACTGTAATCTGCAGGTATAAAGGGCTCAGAAAGGAGTAGTGAGAGTCTTCTTGAATTGCATTTTCTGGCTTTTGTGGAGTGGCTGTTACTAAGCAATAACTGGGAGAAGTAAGAGTACAAGGGTTTTGTTCATTTTATAGTAATTCCCAGTAATGGCTTTGTTCTGTCATCACTGTCTTTTTTGGTATTTGCCTTTGGTAATACAATTGCAACCACATATGCTACATGAGAGAGTTATGTGCTAAATCTGACTAAAAAGACTTATTTTACAGCCAGTCATTAGCCATGATTGCTGAGTTTGAGGTAACAGCAACATTTACAATGCTGTGTCCCGTTCATAACGATGTTTCAAAGCACGTGGCAATAAGTCTGTGGGCTTTAAAGATATTTAAATGCTCACAGATGGGTATATTTTAGTAGTTTCACTCTGTATCTTGAGATGTGTCCAAAGTCTGGTTCAGCACTGCTGTCAGTCAAAAGCAATCTGCAGCTCTGTATACTAGTTAATGTTTTATATTTTAAAAAGCTACTACATAGCTGATTTTGATGGCATGTTATATCCCTTCATGCAGTGGGGTCTTTTTAGTGTCCCAACTGATTTCCCTGGAGCAAGCCTGGATTTCATGGAAGCCAAACTGAGAGCCTCCTCTTAGTGACCTGCAAGTTATTGAAGCAAACCCAGTTTTACTCAGTGATTTAGTGAAATAATTCCTGTGCATGGATACATCCATGTTGAAATATGATCTCTCCTCTAGTGAAATTTGGAGGGGGGGAGGTGTTCAGAATTGTTAAAATAACCGGTTTAGTTAAAATGGCTGAGCACATCCAAAAATAATCTGTACCACAGGGAATGCTCTCTGTCATGGACAGCCGTTTACACACGCTGTAACAGGATCACTGCAGTTCCAGGCTGGAATTCAGCTGGGAGAGGAGCCACACGTCTGCCTCGGAGCTCCCACTGCCACAGACAGGGCTGAGGAAACTCCTCTGCTGGGCTTGGATGTCTGTTCTGAACTGTCACCCTTTGAGGTCACCTTTCTGCCTCTAAACCCTTGAGAAACCCTACAGAAATGGGGATGGCATTGCCAATATGTGTGCTCTAACTTGTTTTGCTTCTCTGGAAAAATCAAACACGATAACTGATAATGCAGTAAGTGCACAGTGACTTGAGAGCTGCGTTTGGGATGGAAATTGGATCGAGTCTTGTTATAAGATGCAACACTTACTGTGGGGAATTCCTCATCTCCTGAGTGGGGAGTGTCCCTGCCATGCCATGGGACAGTTTTCACTCCATCCAGTGGGTCACTGGTTCAGTACTTCCCCTCCACAGGTGCTTTGTAGGTACTATCTGCCCTGTGCTACCAGCACCTTGAGTTTTACTGCTGTCTTTCAGAATAAGAGACAGAAACATGAGGTGATGCCACTTGGCCAAGGCTACAGAGGAAGGAGGTGGTAACAGAATTGTACCCTGACGTTTCCCAGGTATTGTGATCTTTGTCTTGTGCTCTGCTGTGGAGCCAAAGGTCTTCTACAGGCTGTGATTTGGGGTGATGCCTTTAAATTACTTACAGATAGGCTGTTCTGACAGTGCCATCAGGCACTTACCTGAGCCTTTGGGTAATGACACACTCTGTCAAATCGAGCCTGTGCTGTTCTGTAGCTGGGCTGCTGTTGCACATTGCCATTGTCACACAGGCAAACAGCTCAGATGGCTGTGTGGGAACCCCTGTCAGGGTAAGGGACACTGGAGCTTTGCAGCTGAATCACTGGAGTGTTCATCCCCTAAGTGTTGTAAAAAACTAACCCAGAAATGTGATTTTTTTCTTTGTCTTACCGCAGAGGTGAAGCCCGAGGAGAGTTTTCATAAGCTCCATGAAAGTCTTCAGCTTGGCCCTTGGAGTTCATCTGACCAAAGCTGGTGGCTGCTGCTCGACTGCCCAGCCCTGGGGTCTCTGGGCTGTAGGATGGGAGGCCTGATGCCCCTCGGTCCTTGGCTCCTGCCTGGCTGTTCCTAGGGAAGCTGGGTTTCTTCATGGTGACCTGCACAGCTGGCCTGTGGGCAGCACCTGAAAAGCTCTCCAGCTCTTTTGCTCCTGGAAGCAGAATTGTCCCCAAGTCAGGTAGGAAGCAGTGGTGGTTCACCAACACAACACATGCAGTAACAGGGGGGCAGGGGACTGGAATGTCTGAGCAGGTGGATGAGAGCTCAGCCTGCCTGGCTCTGCAGAGACCAAAACCTGCCCAGCTGCAGTAGCCAACCCTCCCTTCTCTCCAGGGCTGCTGAGCTTGGGATGCATGAAAGGTGCTGTTCTGTTTGCAGGTGGCCTTCAGCACAAGCCAAGCAGGTCAAGTGTTACAATAAACAAGGTACAGACACAGCCCATGTGTTGGACCACACTGGAATCCCGAAGGGATGAAGCACAGGGATGAGACTCCTCTGTGAGAAGGAACATCATCTCCACATTGTCATCCTTGACCCAGGTAGAAGAGGGATCCACAGAACAACTAGCATCCAACTTTGAAAGGTATCCAAGAAGATTGCATTTTTGGGGCATTTCTCTTCTCTTGAGCCTACAAAATTGTTTTGGGTTTGGCTTCTGCTTGGCAAATATCTGTGGTTCTCCCTGGTGTTGAGCTGCAGCAAATTCTTTTGTGCTTAGTTGCTCAACACAGAAATCCATGTGCTTACCTGGGGAAACAGAGAGATGAGCACTGGATGCTGCAGATCCAAATTCATTTTCAGCAACACATTTAAATATTCCAGAGTCTTCTGGAAAAGCTTCTGTAATAACCAGGGTGCAGACTTCCTCTGAAATAACAAATTCAGGTGTGATGTTGTACCAGAGAGCCAAATGTTAACCTACAGGAGTTGGTCCTTGCAGGAGGAGTGTGACTTAGTGATAAGGCTTGGCATCAGTAAAGTGCAAAATAGTGATGTATAGGGCATAGGATGTTAAGGGATTCAGAAGGAACAAAAAATGAAGGAAGAATCTTTTTTCCTGTGATATTAATTAAACAAGGCACACTTTTTGTAGTGGGTTTTTTGTGGGGTTTTTTTTGGCTTTTTTGGCTGATTGGGGTTTGGGGTTTTTTTTTGCTAAATTCTGTCTTCTCTTGCACAAGTTTAAACCCCATACAAGATTATAATTCAGAATGGTGGATATGTTTTCCCTTAGCACAGGGTACTCTTCACTGACTTAATTAAAGAGGGTCGATACCTTTTTCATTGTGTTGTGAAAAAACTCAGGGCCTTTTGGGTGCTTTTTTCAAAATTAGGAACTTGAAAGCTCTTGGTCTGACTCTGAATGTTGTCTTCTGACCACCCTTTGGACATTATTGTTTTATCTGGGTGAGAAATCCCGAGTGTGAGGTAATTAACTGGTGGAATGTCTAACACCACATGCACAGTGCACTTACCAGGAACTGCTGATGAACAAGCCTCTGCTCAAAATAAGAGAGAAAAAATTTGAATGGTTATAAGGCCAGAATGGAAAAAAAGCCCTTCAGCCCTCACTCCCTTCCCCACTTCAGCTGTCACCCTGGTTACAAAGGAACCATCGCCCTTTGTGTCCATCAAGAGAAGTTCCATCTGGATAGGGAAAGCTCAGGTTTGGCTGGGGAACCTGGGGGTACAAACACCTCTCCACTGAGGTGACATAGAAAGAGCTCCTCTGACTTTGGGGTTAGTTGCTGGAGCTCTGGCCTCATGCCTGGGAGAATCAGAAATTGTTTAAAATTTATCTCTATCTCTATCCATCTATATATCTATATCTTTTCCCCCTGAGTCCATCAGTAGTTCTAATAGATGGTGACAATGCCTCCATGGCTCAGCAGGACTGTCATTAATAACTAACAGTGTGGAATCTCCTCCCGTTGTGCCCGACCCTCTCATGCGTTGCCAGAGGAAGTGCAGACTCTGTCCAGCCTGTGACTTCAGGTCATCTGATACTTGTAAACTTAACTCTGCCTCTATGAACGTGTACAGTCTCCTGATTCTTATAGCAGTTCTTCTTCCTGTCTCATCACTGTCCCAGTGAAATGACATTAAGCAGATGAAGCAGCACCTACTTTTTCGCAGGATTCGGAAATCAGCAGAATCTCTGATCTGATCATATTCTCTGTACCAGTGAACCTGTAGGGTGGGTGTAGAGTGAATTCGACATTCAAACACCACCAACTGACCCTTCGTAGCCCTTATGTTTTGCAGACCCTGGAGGAGAAAAATATTTGTGTTAAATGTCTGATCTAAGTGTTTCCCCATTAAAGCAATTATTAGGAAATGATACCTCCTTCAGGGAAGAAGATGGTCTCATGCCCCTATTTTTATTTTACTTACAGGAGTTGATTTAATTCTAAATGCATTTGCAGTGAGTTGTGAGGGGAGGTTTTTTTCACCAGTAAACCAGTGCTCATTAAAGCCTGGCTTGTGCAGTTAAAGAAAGATACAAATGCAGGAAAAAAATCTATTCCAGCGGATGTAACATTATAAGGGAAGCTACTATGTGAGAGGTTTCCACTTCAGCCTCCCCTGCAGGAAACAAATAGGATGAATTCACATAGTTCTGACTGGATCATTTACCAATTAAGGCATTAATTTGATAGTCATCACCAACGAAGTACGTTGGCTTTTTTGAGTTGTGCATGAACCAATGTTCCAGCCTAGAAATAGCTTCTGATGGAACAAGAAAACCCACAATCTAGTGCTGGTAGCTGCAGAGCAAGCTCTGTTCAGGCAGCCTGTGCTCTTTACCTTTGTGAACACAGGCGTGCTCCCGTAGGCAGACCCGGTCAGGCTCGCCGAGGGACTCTGCATCTGGATGGCAAAGAAAGGGGACTTTTACAGCTTGAATTCTCCTTAGGCACAAACCTGGCTCTGTGGCTGGCACTTTACTTTGAAAGAGAAGAAGATTCAGAGTGCTTTATCTGTTGTTCATGTCCCAGGCTGACAAATACCCCATGGAGAGCCTCTGTTCAAGTGCTCCAAGAAGAAATAACTCCTTGGCCTGTGAGCATCAAGTTAGCAGGAAGAGGGGCTGATAACCAATAAGTGTTGCTTAGAGCTTTAAGGTGCAAGTTTGCCTCTAGGTGTTCTGACCTCCCCAGCTCTTGGCCAAGTGTGTGTTCTAAACCAACTATCTGTTCTGAAGTGAATCTTTGAAGTGTGGCAGCTCCTTGAGCACTTCCAGCCCTGTCACCTGCTCCATCAATTCTCTTGGCAATTCTGACTGGGAAATGTTCCAAGCCAGAAAGCCCTTTTCCAGAGCTTAGGGTCCAGATATTGATATTCATGATGACCCTTGCCTCTTAGTCACTTGCTGAAGATGAGCTTGAGCTGATCCTTGCAAAATATTTCTAGAATGCTGTAAATAATAATTTAAAACATGTGTAGCCTGCTCTTTGAAGGTCAATAGATAAGGCTGAATTAAAGGGGTGTAACTCTGGCTGCTGGAGACTGCATTGCCTGAGGAACCAGTGGACAGCAAAACACTGGTGGCTTTCTGCTTTTTCCCAGTGTGTGGAAAAATAAACAAGGCAGGAGGGAACCAGAGACTTCAGGAGGATGAGTATACTCGATCCAGTAATGTTTATACTTACTGTGACATTCCTCTGGCCCTGACAGGATGCTGAGACTTGCAAGGAGGCTTAGCCTTTGGATTTATCCTAAGAACCTGGAGAGACAAACATAAAGCAGTGTGTGTTTAGAACTATCTCCTTTTCCTTACAACACAGAGATGACTCTGTTTTGTGAACTGAGCATATGCTGGTTGGAGAGCGGGTGCAGAGAAAATAGAAGCATCCTAAATATTTGAGAGTTAGGCTCAGGTCACCTTCAAAACATGGAGACACTTAATCAAGATTGTTGATACGGATCTCTGTAAAAGACCCAAGTCACCTCTGAAACCTGGCTCCATGATGGAGTTAGGGTATTCCTGCATTTGGCTGGAAGAGTCTAAAGAAAACCCTTGTTATTCTAGTGAAAGTGAAAATGGTACCTCATAAACCAGGTGCTGGATCCCTCTGCATGAGGACTGTAGCATACTGGATTGACACAAAACAAGTAGTTACTGAGATCTTATTAGCTCATTGTGGTAATAAAAGGTTTACAGATTTCATCTTTACTTCCCTTTTACTATGGCAAGAGGGATTTTCCTTGCTGGAGTACTGCAGGCTGATGATCCTGCTTCTCCTGGACCCAGCTGTATGAGGACAAAGGCTGGGCTTGGCAAGTGCCTTGCAGGAACAGCAGCAGTGCTGTTGTCACACACTCTGCATCTGGGGTGAATGTTAGAAATGTGGTGCTGGTGAGAGACAGCAGCACGTGTGAGACATGGAGACAGTGCTCCTATGCCTGTCTGCCTCGAGGTGTTGCCGTGGGCAGGGAATTGAACCTGGTTTGCCAGCAAGGAGAAGGCCTGGAGATGGCTGAGCTGGCGTTCTGCTGGCTGCAGGAGCCGTGTGTGTGTACCCTGCTGCTCTCTTGGCTGGGATGCAATCCTGGGGAGCTGCTAACTTGCTGAAGGGCACCCTTGGATTTGTGTTCCCCATCCATTAATCCAGCTTTCACCCTCTCCCACTCTCGGTGCCTGATACATTCAATTCTGTGCTGTCTGGTAGCTGATGTCGTGTACTTCCAGGTCCTGTGCCTGTGTGTCTGTGGCCATGCAGACAGCACCTGAAGGGACTGGCAGATGGCTACAGAGCTGTTGTTTGCTGTTTAGTGATCAGTTGCTAAGGCCCCTGTAATGTTCCCCTGTGGGCTCCTTGCTTGAACCATTGCCTTTGTGGCAGGTTTGCTTTGTGTTTGCAGCCTGTGAAGAAGCAGGTGTGAGTGGTCATGGCTTGGCACCTTAATTCTCTTTAAGCAGTTGTTGTTCTGCACCCTGACAGTGTTCTAGGTCAGAAGAATGCATGTGTTTCTTCAGGGTTTGGATCCTACCCTTGTTGCTCCTGGTTTCATACGGTACTGTTTGGTACTTACAGTGTTTGTAACACATTAGGTAGAGTAACTGCAAATTTGGGATGCTTTAGCTGACACTCACCCTGTCTTGGAGTCTTATTTGTAGAGTTACAGATGGGTACCTGGTGTAGAGATATGGAGACAGCTCAACAGAGTGGGATTTAGTTACCTTGAAGATGTCAGTGCTGCAAATTACCCATCTTATCAAATAAAATCAGTGTATGCATCTGAACTCCTCAGAGGCTTAGCATAGCTCTTTGGTTCAAATAATTTATTTGAGATCTGTTCTCTCTCTTTTCTGCTTTGTCGCTCTCCAAAACAGTCACACCTGATTACAGTGATGGATATTTTGCAGTCTAGCTGGATTTGCCTGGTTAAAATGAGAACATATCACTGTGTGCCCCATTCAAACCTGCAGTGTTACCCTGAGTCCTGAGCACAGGGCCCCAGGTACAGTTACCCATCTACTTGGACCACCCGTGGCCTTCACAGTTCTATCTGTTGCTCTTGATTTATAAGTATCTCCCAAGCAGCTCAAGGATGGCTCCTGTCCAAGGTTATATCATG